TTCTGAAATATAGTCTGGCACACACATAAACTAATTAAAAAAATACAACATGGAGGGGATAGCATTGGCATTCCACAGCTACAAGGAATGTAATAAGAGTTGCAAACATGAAATCCGAGCTGCTAAAATAGAGTATGAAAAGCATATCGCCACAGTCAGTAAAAAGAACCCCCCAAAATTCTTCCAATATATAAACATTAAAAAGTTAAGAAAAGAGCAGGTGGCCAAATAAAGGAGGAGAACTGGAGATTAATCACAAGCGACAGGGAGAAGGCTGAGGTATTAAATTAGTTTTTCTCCTCAGTATACACTCTAGAAAAAGACGGGGTTAATAGAGATATAAATGTGAGTAGCTCAAAGCATAAAAAAGCGCAGTGGTTGACAGTAGCTGAGGTTCAACAAAGACTCTATAAAACTTAATGCAATAAATCAATAGAACCAGATAACCTGCACCCCAGAGTACTTAAAGAGCTCGGCCATGTTATAGCGAGACCATTATTCCTCATTTTCAATTACTCATTAATGACAGGAAGGGTACCAAGTGACTGGCGTAAGGCAACGGTAGTACCGATATTCAAAAAAGACTCAAGATGCCAACCTGGGAACTAAAAACCAGTCTAACATCGATAGTATGCAGACTGTTTGAGGGAATGATAAAGGACTATTTAGTGGATTTTGTTCCTCACAAAGGTATAATAAGTGATAATCAACATGGATTTATGAAGGTCTGACCATTCTTGTCAGACCAACCTACTAACCTTCTAAGAGGTGAGTAGAGATCTGGATAAAGGAAGGCCAATGGATGTGGTGTACCTGGATTTTGCAAAAGCATTCGACATGGTACCACATAAACGCTTAATACACAAACTGAAATCTATAGACATAGATGAAATGGTATGTACATTGATAAAGAACTGGCTACAGGAACGTGTCCAGAGGGTATTGATAAATGGGTCTTTTTCTAATTTGTCTAAGGTCGAGAGTGGTGTGCCCCAGGGTTCTGTGCTAGGCTCTGTACTGTTTAACCTGTTTATTATTGATATTGAGGAAGGTGTTAATAGTCATGTTTCTCTGTTTGCAGATGATACTGGGAGGGTAATAGACACAAGCTTAGACATTATAACATTACAAGCGGACCTGAATAAAATGGGGGAGTGGACGACTATGTGGCAGATGAGGTTTAATGTTGAAAAATATAAAGTAATGCATCTTGGGGTTAAAAACACATTAATGGGTACTTCACTAGGGAACTCAGAAATGGAAAAAATTTGGGGGTCATAGTAGACTACAGATTGAATAACAGCACGCAATGCCAGGCTGCGGCAAGCAGAGCTAGCAGAGTACTGTCTTGTATTAAAAAGGGAATGTACTGTAGAGACAAAGCAATAATTTTGCCACTTTATAGATCGCTGGTTCAGCCACATCTTGAGTATGCAGTTCAGTTTTGGTCACCAATCCACAGAAAAGATGCCCTGGAGCTGGAGAGAGTCCAGGGAAGGAGAACTAAACTAATTAAGGGGCTGGAGGAACAAAGCTAGGAGACAAGGTTGTTAAAATTAGACCTGTTCACGCTGGAAGTGAGGAGATTAAGAGGGGACATGATTTTAATGTACAAAATGTTTGGTGCTGATGGCAACATCAGCAATAAACTTTTTACTCTCAACTCCCTAACAAGGACTGGAGGCCACCACCTAAAATTGGTAGAGAAAAGATTTAACCACAAAGGGCGTAGGGGCTTCTTCTCAGTCAGAGTGGTTACATTTTGGAACTTTCTGCCACAAGCAGTGATAGCAGCAGAGAGTATTGAATCATTCAAAAATCAATTAGATACCTTCCTCAGAGACCATAACATACAGGGGTACAGGTATTCATAAAACCTAAGACCCCACAGGGACTCATATACGCACATGCACACACTGCACACACACTTACAGATAAAGGTTGAACTCGATGGACCTGTGTCTTTATTCAACTTCAAATACTATGTAACTATGTAACTACCCTGCTGTGCTTAGGATCAACAGCTTGTATACTGGCTACTAATTGTAAAGAGGTGGGGTTTTGTATAGAATGGGTGGGACTTTGTGCTAATAAGGCTTTAGCACATTAACTAAATGATCCCTATGTTGTATTTGTACTCAGAAACTCCATCAAAAAGCTGTGCAGAAGTGCTGACATGAATTGTGGTGCAACCAAAATGTACAGAAGACCACTTTCATGCATTAGGTTATTTCTATAATTAATAGCAAATGGGACTCAATTAAAAAAGCAAATGCCTTAAAGTGCCTTAAAAACAGATTTATGTTAAGGTATATGTAAACCCAATCACTAATCTCATTTAAGCTTTAAAAGTATAATGTAATTTCAAAAGTCACCAAGAGATCAAACCATGAAGACTCTTGTTCAGGCATTTTCAAATACTTCCCTGCAATGTTGCCCTGTCACAGATGCAACAAACATAGAGAGGGTGAAAACAGTATAAAATAGCGATTGTTCAACCACTTTAGCACTGTTGTACATATTTAAACATCCAGTACTGAAGTGTCTGATACCAATAACTTGGCTGCTGCAGCTTCATTAGCTTCTGTGAGGTATATAAGTGACATATTGGGGTTGATTTACTAACCTTATAAGCACACCACGAACATGTATACACCTATGTAGTGTGTTCCCTCCCAGCATGATCTATGGGTGGAATCTAAACACCTTTGTAGTGTGTACACACTGTCAGGAGAATTCTCCCACGGAATCAGAAGACTCAGTTAGCTTCTAACCATTTTTGTCTAAACTGTGAAGCAGCATTATATATGCATCATGTGCATGATTTTTCCATATATGGCATTAGTGGAAATATGCTTTTAGAGACTTTTTGGTTGATAAATACGTTTTGCTGTGTGAAAATCACACGCACCTGGTGCGTGCGTGTGTTTAGGTTAGTAAATCACCCCCTAGGGGTCTAATGATATCTCCAAAAAGAGAATCTGTCATAAAGAGGACCTATGACATAGGGGCTTTTTAGCCCCCTACATGCACAAATGCAAACAGGTGTTGGGTAACAATAGCACCACACATGTTACATATTGACGCAAATGTCAATTTTGAACAATAATTCTAGAGCCATCACTCACTGTTAACTCTAAATTGATGAGTGATAAAGACTTTTAAAGCATTGCCTATAGAGAATTATGGGTAGCGTCATTTTTTGCCATGGGTGCACGCAATTTTAGAATATGACATGTTTGGTATCAATTTACTTGAAGCAACCCCATCTTTTATATTTTAAAAATAATTGGGTAGTATATTTGTGTTTGTGTGCACTAAAATCTTATTTTGACCTTTAACTTTTGCCATTAAACCAAATTTACAAAACTTTTAGCACATTTTTATGGGTATGCAAAAGGGATCCACATAGAAAGTTGCTAGTAAATTTATTTACAAAAAAAATTTAAAAGGTTAGAATTTTTTTTTTTCAGTTTTGGCCTGACAATTTTTTTTCAGTAGTTGCAGAATGATGATGTTTATGGGTTTGGTTATAAGAGTGTGGCAAAGAGTGTCAGATACAAAACAAGACCGACTGCAAGCAACTGGACGAGGAAGGGTAAGAAACCCTGAGACTTTAATTGATCAATAAAAATGATTCTATATATAAGTGTATCTTCCTCACATTTTAGTTTGTGGGGGTTTGATTTGATTTAGTCCACACTAAACAAAGTGTCATATTCAGCAAGGACGTGAAATAGATATGAGGTCTTGTAGTAAGCAAAATTGAAAACTCTTTTCCATGCAATTCTTTTTAAACTGTCTTTTCTAGCTGCATCAAAGGGCAGCAATCACCATCAAAAACACTCTGTTCTCATTTATCTTTCTACACTTTCTGGTATTTTAGCACGTGAACAATCCAGTTTGCAAATGGAATCAGGCGGGAATGCATACATAAAATAGTTTTTTTTAATGATGTGCACATTTTTGCACTTTAGTTACTCACGGCCACAGTCTTCTATCAGTTGGAAACATACAAAATCTGATTTCTCATTATAACACATTATTGCTTTTTGCAATATATTTTTGCATATGCCCAGGCTGTCTGCATGTGAAAAAGTAATCTTCAGTTTAGTTACGAATTCCAGTCTGATGTTTTCCCGTAGAAGTCCTAAAACCAAATGTGCTGAAACATATTGCTTTGCTGCCATCTAAAGGCTTCATATAATTATTGCACAAGTTGAAGTTTGGGCTTGTTTAAAGTCAATCTGCCACATGTTTTTAAACTTTTAAAAGCTACAGTACTGCCTAACAATAAAAACAAAAACGGTGTTAACGTTATTTACAGAAAACGCCCATTCTTGTGTTCCATATGACATAGACTTTGTTTTGCTACCAGAACCTAATTTAAGAGATAATCCCTGGTAATTGCAGTGTTCTGGCTTAATAGATGTAGCAGCACATGTAGTCATTACAATAAAAGGTAACATATAGTATTTATAGAGCAAAACTTTAAGTAGAATTACACTTTTGGGGTTTACAAGCAGTAGATATATGCAACAACATAAAAAATTAAAACATTACCAAGTAGGTAATTACTTACCTGTGTCTCCACTGCTTGCTCCCATTTGAAGATCTGAAGATTACCGAGCGGCCGAGAAGTATCATGGGGCGGGTGCATGCACAGTAGAGATCTTCAGCTGGGAGAAGAGGAGAGACACAGAGTAAGTCAATGCAAGCAGCCGGCAGCTTGCATGCCGACAGGCTCCGTGGGACACAGCAGACACAGGGGTCTATTCACGAACCTGCCGAAGGATCTACTAGGAAGGGGGTAGAG